TTTACTAGTATGTTTTGATTTTTAAAGAATACTAGCTTACCCTTGCATGTTTTCCATGTGGTTGGAACTGCGATGATCATACTATGTATGGGAGCAGAGCAGAAATAGGTGGGCGTCTTGGGATGAGTCTCCGGCGGACTTTGGAGCTAATTTGCTTGTGTGGATATTTTGCTTGTAGCTACTTGGGATAGTAGCATTTGGTTGTAATTTTCCTTGGTACACTTTAACTCTAGTCAGACTGGAATCTTGTATATTTATATATTCTAGATCCTATATTTATACTTGTTCTATCTGTCTGGTGTTTTAGTGTGCTATACCGTGTGTAGTGACCAGCCGGGTCGTTACAGTATATACTACGCCATCTCAACATTGACCCTTTAAGGCCAACCCCTCCTCCACCGAGTACTACCCTAGATGATCCTGACCATGGTGTTGATGATGCTCTTGATGAGATAGCAGAAGACCCTTAATTAAGCTTCTTTATTTTACTTGTTTCAAGATATTTTATTGTATTTCACTATTACTTTGTTGAAATTTAAACGTTTTATGTTATTATTGTGTTTTTAGCATACCATATTGACATACTTATATTTTATTTAGTTTTCACTATAATATAAATTTACATCGATGAGATTATGTCTTTTAGTATGTTCTAGTTTATTATTATAAATTGTGTAATAAATATATTGTTAATTTTATATTCGTTAACAGGTATAAATTTATAATTTAAAAAGAATTTAAAAATACTGGTTAGCATTAGCGACCGAAATAGCGACCAAGATGATTTGTAGCTACTTAAAGTGGCTAGCGACCGAAATAGCGACCAAAAGAATTCGTAGCTAATTCAAGTTTTTAGCGACCGAAATAATGCATAGTTATTTCAAGATTTAGCGACCGAAATAGCGACCAAAAGAATTCGTAGCTAATTCAAGTTTTTAGCGACCGAAATAATGCATAGTTATTTCAAGATTTAGCGACCGAAATAGCGACCAAAAGAATTCGTAGCTAATTCAAGTTTTTAGCAACCGAAATAGCGACAAAAAATAATTCATAGCTAATTCAAGTTTTTAGCGACCGAAATAATTCGTAGCTAATTCAAGTTTTTAGCGATTTAAATAACGACCAAAATAATCTGTAGCTATTTCAAGATTTAGCGACCGAATTTATTCATATCTATTTCAGGTTTTTGCGACTGATTTAGAGACTGATTTTTAAAATCTTTTTTTAAATAAATAAAAAAATTTAGCGACGAAAATTGCAACCAAAAAATTCAGTCGCAAAATTGGTCTCGAGAAGTTAGGAGACCAATATTTTAGCGACGGATATGAATGGATAGCGACCTAAATAGCGACCGATTTTGGTGATCGCTAAAACTTGATTTTTTTGTAGTGAATGATTTTCACCTTTTTTTATGTTATAATTTCTTAATTTTAATTATTTTTAAAGTAAAAAAAATACGTGTAAAAGAAAAGGAATTTGAGTAAAAACTATATTGTAATTAATATACAAATAATTTTTATATAATTAATATCAACCCATATATATTGAATGCAAATAATTGTCTACTACGAGAAAGTTTTTAGGGGCTTTTTACCGACAAGACTCATGAAAGGGTTTTGTTTCTATGATAACAGGTTTTTAGGGATTATTATAACTTATGTAATTCAATTTTATTTATTATAATTATTTATGAATTAAATCAAACCCTATATATACATAACGGATGTCTACATTGTCAGAGAGCGTTTTAATTAGGAATTTTCCTTTGACGAAGGAATTTTAGGAGTTCTTTTAATTTCGTATCTAATTCAATATTTATTTATCATAATTATTAATGATTTAAATTTTAGTATTTTTAAAATAAATTATCAATAAATAAAAATATTTTTCTTACAGTATACTATATTTATCATAAATCAATTTTTAAAAATATGTATTAATTTATATTTAAAATAATCCTTATATATTAAATACAAACTTCTATCTCGCACTATAATGTTTTGTTAGGGGCTCCTCTTTGACGACAGAGACTTTAGGATTTTTTTATACTTTTTATCTAATTCAGTTTTTAATTATTATAAATATTTAGAAATTAAATTTTAATGTTTTTAAAATAATTTATCAATAAATAAAAATAATATTTGGCTACAATATAAATTATTTATCACAATGACTAAATTTGTATCCTTGGGGACTAGGTAGATTGATTGATTCTCAATTAATTTAGAAAGAAAAAACTTATATATATA